CTGCTGCTCCTCTCGTGGGGCTGGTCCTTCCCTTCCCGGCTGTCGCTGCGGGTGGGTCACGGCGCTGAGCTCGCTTCTGCGCCCACGCAGCCCCGGGACAGTGCCAGCTGCCGTGATGTGGAGATGGGCTGGAGGGCTGTGTGTATGTATGGGTGTGTATATATATGTATGTATGCATATACATATATACACACACACCCCCCTTCATGTATGACACCCACCCTGGAGTTTCAGTATGGCTCGTGTGCTGTGTAGGGGAGCTCAAATTGTGAACTACTTCTGGGAAAAACTGGACCCATCAAGTGGTGGTGAAATTCTCAACAGTTCTGTTTCATACAAAACCTTGCTTTTTGTGAAACAGCGAGCATTCCTCCATCCTCAAGTGGTGAGAGCTGTAGCGATGTATACCTGCCGGACATGTAATCCATCACCTAGTTGGAAGTAGAAATCAAGGTGGTTTTGAGCAGAAAATGCAGGTTTTGCCCCTTTGTGTTTCCAGCATGTTATATCTTGTTGCTGCAGTTTAACAGGTAGTTTCATAAGCTGTAGCACCTGTGAAACCTGGTTTCCTACAGAATTGTCTCAAGGCTGAGCTGACGTGTCTTTGATGTTTAAAAAGAGTTGAGCCCGTTCCTCAGGGATATTAATAAAGGATTTCTGAACTATCCAGCCACTTACTGTCATGAAACCTGAGGAACTTCACATCTTTGCCATCCCAGCCCCTTGGCTGAAATCAGCCCAGGAGAAGTAAACTCACATGGATACACACCGGAGATGCACATGTACATGGAGAGATCTCATGAGCTTTGTTTCTGTACCAAATTGGACTTAAAAATAAACACTGAAGTGGGTCAGGCTGCAGCAGAAAATAGAGTCTTCGGCAGGTTCCTCTGCATAATTTAATTTGTTTGGGTGTTTGTGCTAGCTGCTCTTTCATCCTTTGCCCCTCTGGAGTAAACATCTTCCTCTCTGAAAAAGTGCCCTGTAAAAGCCACGGGCCACCTGAGCCGAGGAGGAGCTGGGCTGGGTCCCCATGCTTTCCTCCATCCCTCTCCTTTTCTTTTAGCTCTTCCCATCTACCACTGCTTCTTACGCTCACTTCCCCATAGCTGGAGATGAGGAGCTTCAAGGGAAGGTCAGGAGCAGGCGTATGCCGGTCCCCCCGCGGTTTGGTGGAGCTTGGCGGGGCTCGCTGGGGCTCCTTCTCCCTCCCGGTTGGTTGGACGCAGCTGCCCGTGCCCTTGAAACACGAGGAAACTTTCAGGTTCTCTTGTTAGTTCTGAAGACGAAGGATAAGTGGGAATTTTGCATCGCCACTGCATTTAAGAAGGACTGCAGAAACAACTGGGGATTGGTGAGAAAGGGCAGGAATGCACTTGAAGGTGGTGCAGCAAGAGAGACCGAGAGGGGCTGCAGGGACATCACAGCACTCACTAAAAATACTCTAAAGCCAATAAACACTCTCCTGAACTCCTTTAATCTCATGTCCTTTTAGTTAATCTTTCATCTCTCCAGCACATCTCTTGCCACATACTCTGAAGCCTCTCTTCTGAGAGCACAGCACCCACGGGGCAGGCTCGGGATCCCAGCTGGGGGCAAGTCCTCTCACTGCTGCAGATGTCAGCAGCACTTTAGGTAAGGCTTGATGCGCAGGGCTGGCTGGTCAGGAGGGTTTTCTAGGAAGAAATCGAACAGTTTGGGGTATTTAAAGTAAGAGCTGTAGTGATTGGAACAAAGACTCAGGTAGGTGCTGGGCTCAGCTCCTCTTCTGCTGCGATTTTCACACCTGAGGGCCGTGCAGCTGCGTTGGGCTGCTGCATGCTGCGATGCTACATAGACGTGGCTTTGCAAAGAAGGTCTTTAGGCAGGACCTGGGTGAGCCTGTGAAATGGCAATGTCCGAGTTAGCACTCTGCACCCTGTGTTGAGCTCCTGACTCAGCTGAGCCTTCCCTGGCAGGACAGGGCAGGAGAGCAGCGTGCCCTTCCCTCCGTGGGGTGAAAATGCGAGGTGCTAAGTAAGTTGGTTTTACAATGAGAACCAGCGGCTAAAAAGTAAAGCCAGAAAATCAAAGGAGAATGAAGGCAGTCCTATTTTTTTTTTTTTAAATGTCTTTTTATAGCAGATGCAATAATCAGGTGCGGCGCAGCTGAGCGGAGCGGTGATGGGTTCTGCAGCTCCTGCGGTCTCACCCTGAGACCTGCTGTCTCCCAGGCAGTCACGCTCCAGTGAAGCACATCTGCTTGGGCTCATCCCAGCAGGACCTAGTTATGTCCCGTGTCATGTCTGACACCGCTCTCCTGCCCATTCAGTCTTGCAGTAGTCGCTGGGAGTTAATTGTCTGCTCCGAGGTGATTTGGGCTTCAGTGCTCTCGATGAGCGATTCCCTTTGAAGTGTCTGATGCTAAAGGGAAGGGTTTGGTTATTCCATATATAGTTGTCTTTAGTAACCCCATCCAAATTCTGCCTTGTGATCAAGACTCTGGAATCCTGTAAATAGTTTTGAGCTATTACTATCGTGGATTTTTACCGTGTAGGCGTACCTGTAAAAATCATTAATATTCAAATAACTTTGGTAAATAAGCCACTATGCCAGAGTAGTTATTTATTACTATTTATGATGACAGACTTATCTTACTGATTTCTCCAACACATTTCTCCAGAGGAAATTAGATACAGTACTTAGTTTAAGCTGTGCAGGGAGAAAATGTTTCTATAAATACTTAACAACTCATCTGGAGAGATGACAACTATTGGTATGTCCTTCACAATGTCACGTTGGTCATTAAGTCTGGTTTAAAATTCAGTTGTTTATTTTCTCCAGGAGAAAGGTAACCTGGTGGTTTTAAAGTGGGGAAAGAGAGTATATGCAGAAAAATCAGTCTTGAACTCTGAAACCTTGAATCTAAGTGCTTTTTTCCCTTTTTTTTTTTTTTTTTCCTCTTCCGATAGAATCACTGGGGAATAAATCACCAGGCAGCTTTTAAGACTTTCTGTTTGCATACGTGGCACTAGAGGGCGAAGTGATTGTGCCAGCCAAAGCGTGCATGCCACCAGTTCAGTGGTGAAAGCAACTGTCAGTGCCCAGTGATGGCACTTGGCTGCATCCCTTGCGCTGCTCTGGGCAGAGGGTTTGCACCGGCAGCCGCAGCACCGTCCCTTCCCTTGGGACAGCGTGTGGCCGGGAACAGCTCAGGAGGAACGCAGCACAGCGTTTCCCTTGGGATTTCAGCACCTTTCTAGGAGGAACTTAACAACAGATGACACGGGGAAATTTCAATTCAATTACGTGGAAGTTTCGCTTGAGAAACAAGGTGAAGCGCTACATGAAATACATTAAAATAAGCAAATGATTTGTCTAAGTCTCAGATTTTGCCAGTGAAAAAAACCTACCATAGTTTCCAGCAGACCTGAGAAGCTGAAACAGCTGGCAAAATAATGAAAAACGTTCCTATAGGCTTCTGCCTAAATTGCAGGAGGAATGTAGGGAAATTGCATTCTGATTTACTTGAAATAACACAAGAGGAGCTGCAATGGATGAGTTAGATTGGGGAGAAACCTTTGCACTCCTACATAAGCACGCAGAACTGCTTATCTCCAGTGCTAGCCCCTGTTTAAGTTGACTCCTCAGTTCTATTGCCGATACTGTTTCAGGCGTGAAAGCGACCCAGGGTCACCCAGTTAATCTATTTGCAAATAACTGATGATTCAGAAGTAGATTCGGGCACCAGCGGGTACCCGGATGGCTGGTGGGGGCCGCCAGCCGTGCGTGCCGGCGAGCCGACGGGTCCTTCTGCGGGCATTTGCGCTTGCAGAACGTGTGGGTGCTGTTCATGGTCGCACAGCAGGATGGCCGATGGAGCAGCCAGGAGCCGTCCCCACGGAGGTGAGTGGGGCAGGAGCAGCCGTGTCACTGGTTGGGTCACCCACTGCCACAGAGCAAAACTGCCGGAGGCGAGCAAAAGCACTCCTCGTAGACGATTTTGATTTACTTATTTGAGTATCTTTCCTATTGATTTGTAAAGACTCAAATATGAACATTGTTTTGGTGCCGACTCTGAGGTAACGGGGTTTTTTCGGCAGTTAACTTATTATACAACCTCAAATGTCGAGAAATGCACCTACCGGCCTGGCTCTGCGTTAATAACTCTATTACCAGCTCTAGCTAGTTTCAGAATAAACTCTAAAATTACATCTAAACAAATAAATTGCATCTAGCTGCAGAAGTCAAATGAGCTAATCCCTCCTCGTGCTTGGAAAAATGTTTTCTCTATAGCTTTTCTGACATGTCAGGTTATTTTTAGCCATAATTAAAATCCTAACATACAGTGTCATAGAATCCATTCTATTAACTGATGTGCCAGCACTTTTTTTTATTAAATAGACTATAAAAAGTTTTTAATTTTTAGTATTTGGAGCCTTCAAGGAGAAGGCGCCCCTAACATTGATGCCTGATGACAGTTAGTCAATGAATTCAGAAAAAAACCCAGTGGTGGTTCTGTCTGTCTCCCAGCTCTTGCTAGCACTAAATTACAGAATTAATAGGCTTTTAGAAGAGACTGACACATAGTTACTGTGGAAAAGACAATTAAATGTGGAAAGCCACTTTTCTCACCGCATTTAATTTTAACTGGAGGCTTTGAGACTCAATAAATCTTTTTCTTATTTCATTCTCACATTTTCCACAGGTATTCAAGTCTTTAAGGAAAGTACCTGATATATAAGTGACTTAATTTTTCCTTCCCCTGTATCCTTTGCTTTCATCAAGTCTTCCCCCACCTCCACTAAAAAGGCGAGGTGCTTTCTTTCTGATGGCCAACGTTTTGTTTTCTTTGGGATTGCTGGTACAAAAGTGGCTTGGGTGTTGTGAAAATACAGTGGGATAGGAGTCCCGGTCCCTTCTGGGACTTTTCTAGCAAATCCAACTAGGGGAAAAAGAGCAGACGGGGCTGTTTGCCCACGGGAATGTCTCGGGGCAGCGGGACTGGGGCACGAGGGTCCATGGCGGACGAGTGCAGGGTCTCCTCCGGCATGGGGCCGCGGCGAGGGGACAGCGGAGACGCCGGTGCGCAGCCTTCGCCAGCTCCTGCCGAGCCGCTTCCCAAGCGGCTTCACCTCCCGCCGGCTCAGCCCCTCGCTGCGGGGACGGCGCGGTGGCCGCTGTTCCTGCTCCTCCTGGGCAGGTAGCGTTGTGTTCATCCTCTCCTGCAACACGTGCTCCTGGCCACTGCAGGCCTTGGCAGAAATGATCTCAGCTTTCTCACTGATTTTTTATTTCTTTTTCTTTAAAGAAAACAACAGCATCATGAAAAAGCAGAATTTTTTGGCAGCTTTGGAAACAGATTCAGAAAACCTTTTTTTATGGCATAGGAGTGAGTGACCTTTTTTGGTGAAAATATTTCAGTTCATTATTGAAATGCGTCGGCTTGCTGTTCTCTGATGAAAGATTTTTTTTAAATCTTATCCAAAATGATTCATCATTGCAGAAAACCCTTTAGTTGTGTTTTTCTTAACCCCACCCGCCAACCATAAAATTACAATTCAGTCTGACCCAAAACATTTCATTTGCCCCAGTATGAGCAAACCTTTTTTGGTTTTGTTTTTTTATTTTATTTTAATTCACTGACATTTTAGTCCTCTGTAAGCAGTGGGGTTTGGTGTTATTTGAAGATAGAGAGTAAGAGGATACTCTGAAAAAGCAAACCTTTGTAGTCTTTCCTTGGAGCTCCCCATGTCCCCGCTGCCCAGCGCCTCTTTCCCCACTGCACCGTGCCGCTCGCCCTGGACACTGCAGCCGACTGTGGTGAAGCTGGGCTGCCTTTCCACCCGAGCCTTTTCTTGCTTTTGTTGTTTCCTTGCTTTAAATCCTACTTATCCCAGTTTCCTCACACGAGCATCTGGTTTGCTCACCTGCAGGTCTGTCAAGCATTGTTGTCTGTCTAAATGACAGCCAGAAGTATATGATATAACCTTCTTTCTTAATTAAAAAGAAAGCATGAAGCCAAATTTTTTATCCCGAGCCTTATCTGAAATGACAGCAAATCAGTTCATGTTTAGCACAAAACCAAACAGATCTTAGCCCAAGATTATATGTATCATATTTGGATTATTGGGTTAATTGTCTCTAGGTGGTGCTCTGGTTGACTTGCATGAGCAAATGCCTAATTTACTACAAGATCTTCAGAAAGAAATAGTAATTTTCAGGAATGTGGGGTTATACAGCACCAACTGATTACTTTTTGCTTTAAGAGAGACCTATGTACAGTACCATAAAATGTCTAAAATACAGGCATCTCTGTTCGCTTCTGCGAGCAACTGTTGTCAGTGATATTAAAAGTATGGACAGATGCTCAAACAGTAAATCTGGACAGGGATCCCAACTTAGTTGAAAGTAATAAATAAGGTACCTGCACCAAAAAGCAGAGGTGCCAATTTAGTGCTAGAAATGTTGAGGTTCTAGAGAATCTCTCAAACGTATGGATCTCTAAATTCACACCCGATGCTGCCTTGCTTGAGGATTTCACTGTCTCTCACTTGTGGGATTTTTATTTTTTTAACAGCCCAGACAAATGAGAGTAAATGGAAGAAGGCTGTCCTGGTTCTTTTTTGAGGACAGGAGAAAGGGTGAGTTTAGCAAAAAGCCATCAGTCATAGCAGAGACTTTTGGTTTCCGCAGCGACCCTTGGATGAGGTCCTGAGCATTGCCCAAGGTCACACCAAGACTCTGTGACAGCCATAAAATTAGCCGGTCTGCTGCCACCAGTCCTGTTAAACACCAGAGGTGGGAGAAATGTTCATTCCAAGAGCTGGGGTCAATTAGCCTGCCTTTAAAGTAATGGTATTGAATAGAACTTTAAATTTGGTTTAAAAACATTTGTTTTAAGAAATAACTAAGAATGGATTTATGCAGCCTAAATAGGCTGCACTCTCTTGCTGTTTAGATGAAAACAGTAATGATTCAGCATTTCTCAAACATGTGATTGCTCTCTTTGTAGGCTTTATTAGGACAGCCTATTTAAAAAGCCTCTTGGAAAGCCGTTGGCGCAGCATACTGGTAAATCTCTTAACTTGCCGAAACTTGTTCAATATCAAGTTCACTAGGTATTTTGACCTTGAGTGGAAGCACCAAGAGACCTAGTGTTACTGCTTCTATTAGTTAGTATGGAATAGTCAAAGACAAAGCCATTACCCTGGGGAACATTAGTAGTGAGACAGTCACACCTCCTAGTATTGGGGCATTGTGGTCCCCCTTGATCAGATACGGTCAGGCTGAAGTCTGTGGACAGTCCGAGGGGTGGCAGAGCCCGGCATGGAGAGGGTTCATGGAAATACCCTGACATTTAGTGGTTTGAACAGAAGTTCGTTCTGATGGAAACTTCGGTAGGGGCAGCAGGACACTGGGAGATGGGAGAGGTTTAAATCCTTTCCCCCTCCTGGTCCTTTCTGACGTGCCTCCACCGTGGTCCTGGCAGGACCCTCATGGGCCGTGGTCATCTTCCATCTTCCTCAGTTCCCCGCCACTGCAAGCTCCTGCCCGGAGCTGATTTTAGAGCAGCTTCCCTTGCAGCGCAGAGGCAGCAAAGTTAAGGTTGGGTGACACTGGCTTCTTATCACGTGAATGGTTAGGTGTCTCCATACAGAGTGATGGAGCCCGTTACCCTTCGGAAGGAGCCGTGTCTCTCTGACTGTAGGGGCCGGGGTGACGAATTTCAACCCGACACTTCACTTCCCGACGGCAGCAGCGTGCCGAGACGTGTCCTGGCCATACACCCGTCGCTGCTTCCCACTTAACTCGCTGACAAACACCCTGGCCGCAGCGACCAGCAGGATGGGTGATGGGTGTGTTGTCGGGCTCTCTGGCTGCAGCCTGACAGGGGTCTAGCGCAGCGCGCCCTGCCCGCGGCTGCGGCACGCTCCTCTGCTCTCCTCGCGCAGCAGCAGCCCGACGTCCCCGTCTGCTGCGCACTACTCGTGCTCTCCGCCGTATTATAATCAATTCCATTATGATATTGTCGACGAGAGCGAAATGAACTTGCAGTAGCTTAAAGCAAGATAGGTTAATTAAAAAACCTTGATCAAAGCGCCATAAACCACATAAAAGGTTCCATCTTTTAATTATTTTCAAATGGTCTCTCAGGCAGTGAGGCCAAAAAAAAGACCCTGTTCCCGGGGCCCGTGAGCTGTGAAAATTATTGTGTCATCACATCGGATTCAGTTATCACTTGCTATGCAAACGAGAAAAAGGCAAAATTCGGGACAGACCCGCTTGTTAAGGATGAAAAGGAGGAATTGGTGGCGACTGCTTTGCGTGTCTGCCGAGCACGCACTGATCCTGCTCCACAGGCTCCAGCCCATCTGCCGTGTGAAGCGGCTCTGGTGCTGCTTGCCCCAAAAGCTGTGACTTGCTGGGTGTGTTCCTGACAGTCGGAGGACTTTGAACAGCATCGAGCTTGCTTGGTACCAATGGTCCTCCTTTGTGCAGCCACACGCCAGCGAGTCAGCACCATCTGATACGACGGGAGCTGGAGGAGGACAGTTCCAGACGAGCTCTCATGAGTAGGCGCAGACTAGCAGCAATGGATTCTGCTACCAAACAGCAGAGACCAAGGACAGATCTGAGAGCGTGAGTTGTGCACTTGCTCTGAGATCCGGCAGTATTGCCATGAGGATAGTTCCTAGTCTGGGGTTTTAGCAGATGTTCGTATCAGTTATACAACAAAGGAGAGACAACGTGGTCTTGAAGTGTTTCTTCCAAGCGCCGGCCCGTGCGCTGATATGCATGCAGCACCATTCAGCAGGTTGGCAGCAGAAGTAAGGACAGCTCTTGGGTCGCCTCATTCTGCTGTGCTCTTCCTAAACCCTGTGAATAATTTACAAGAAATTGTATCGGGAAGATTGTAAAAATAATGCCCAAGTGGATGAAAGGCAACAGTGGGAGAGAAAAAGGAAGGTGCAGCCTGTGTAAGAGAAGAGGAGAGCTTTCCAGCAGCACCCACTGATGTTCTTTGCCAAAGCCCTGATGCCATTGCTGGGGCATCGTCACGCCTCGGCGTGAGGCGCTGACAGCAGTGATCGGTGCGTGCCCTCCCGCTGCTTGTGGATGAGCACTGTGCCTTGTGGCTTTTATTGTGGTTTTCTTCATCACCTCCACCACGGGGCTGCTGTTCCACAGAGCAGCAAGTCCCTGGGCCACTCGGTCCTTCAGCTCCATCTGCAGCATCTGCTTTCAGCCAAAGCAGACACTCTCTGATTCTTGGGACCACGTCAACCAGCAATACCCATGGTTTTATACTGAGTCATCTTATTTCTGCCCTGTAAAATCTATTGTGTCTGATTCGATCATATGGCAATAAGGAAAGATTGAAAGAATGTTAGCCTTTAGAGGAGTGGGCTGAGACGGCTGTGGTGAGTGTCTGAAAGTGCAGAAACTGCTCTTACCGTCATCAAGAGAACAATACGCTCCCCATTTATGCAGTGTCTGGAACAAGGAATAAAGGTCTTGGACTGTGGTGAGAGAGGTTCAGGTTAGGCATCAGCAGGGAGGTGACGAATTGCTGGCAGGGCAGAGATTACTTCTGCAGGTAATCTCCAGCCTCAACGGTCTCTAAAGACGGTTTGGACAAGCCTTTGCCAGCAGTGACAACAGGAACAGTTTGGCCCTTCCTTGGAACAGGGAAGGGACTAAATAACTCCTTAAAGTCCCTTCTGGCTCTCTGTTTCTGCAGTGAGACAACTACCGCTTGTGTACTCTCCACCCGGGGCTGCGAACAGCCCTGCGGTACAGGATAACTTCTGTTTGCTTGCTGTAGGTGCAAATGGGTCGAGTGAAGGGCTGGGTTCACCGAGACCCCGCTGAGCGATCAGGGTCAAAGCAGGGAGCTGTACAGAACCTCCCAAGCTGAAGAGCAAGAGCTGTGCTGCCTGGGGCGTGCTCCAGCTGAGCTGGGCTTGGCAGTCTGTCATCGCTTCAAGCTGCGAATCTCACACTTTGGGAATAAGGTTTCAGGACCTGTTGGATGTTTGGTTCTCACAAACGCTTTCTGCTGTTGGATTGAAATCGAACTGGTCAGCTCTCCCAGCAGCCAACACTTCCAAAGCTCCCTTTTTGACCTAAAACAACTCGCCATGCTTCACAAACCGTGTAATTCAGCAGTGAAGTGTGACTCCCTCTGGGGCACGATGC